TATACCCCTCTGCCCCCCACCCCCCTGTATACCCCTCATTGCTGCCAGAAAAAACACCAACGCTTTCCTAGCTGACCCAGGGACGCTCTCTCAGTGTTCAAGTCAAGAGCTGGACGCCTATCTAGTACAGGCACCTTCTATGGCACATGACTGGAGAAGGGACCTGAGTGAGGTTTGCTGGCTCTGGAAAAGGAAAAGGAAGGGGAGGAGGGTAACCATGTACGCTGGAAAGCCATTGAGGGGTAAGTGGGGGTGCATAATTTGGCAGGGCGGGAGGCACTTTTGCACTATCAGGAATGTCTGCCCTGGAGGTATTCAGTTGAGCTAGAAAGCCGTTGTCAGGTTTGCTCGCATTATTTCACGTTACAGACAGTTGCCTTGGAGCTGCTGTCTTGTTTGCTAGTGTGGCAAGCAGCGTCATGATGAAATAGCTCATAGACACCAACATCGGGAAGCTGCTTCTGGTGGTGAAAGAGTTAAGGCACGCAGGGGGACATAAAGTAGCCGGCCAGCAGCATGAACTGTATGAAGAATGTAGTTGTAGCCGAAAGGGTTAACGAGTGCTGAGAAAAGGGTAACCGGCAGAAAGGAAGTGTTAAAAAAAGCTTCTTCTGGTGCATTGCAAGGGTTAACTAATCAAAGCACAGGAGGAGGAGGGGGTTAATGCAGTGCACACTGGGCAGAAAGGGTTAATGGGTGCAGCCAGGGGGAGAGAGGGCTAATACGACGCACAGGGGCTGTAAGGGCTGCAACTGGCAGGGAGAGGATTCATACAATGCACAGGGTTTGAAGCTGGCAGAAAAAAGGTTAATACCACATACAGGGAATGTGAGAGAGTTAATGGTTGCAGCTAGAGGGGGAGTTAATGCAACACACAGGGGCTGAAAGGGTTAATGGCAGGGGGAGGGTTAATACATCGCAACAGGGTTATTGCAACATACTGGGCTTGGAACGGTTAATTGCTGCCGCTGGTGGGGAGAGGGTTTAATGTGATGCACTGGGGTTGGAAGGGTTAATGCAGGGGTGAGCAACATCGGCACTCCAGTTGTGCAGAAACTACAAATCCCATCATGCCTCTGTGCGTCATGCCTGTGGCTGTCAGGGTCTTGCGATGCCTCATGGGACCTTTAGTACCACAACAGCTGGAGTGCTGAGGTTGCCTACACCTGGGTTAATGGCTGCAGCCAATTGGGAGAGGGTTAATGCAACACACAGGGGTTGGAATAGTGAATGGCTGTAGCCGGTGGGGAGAGGGTTAATGTAACACACAGGGGTTGGAAGGGTTAAGTACTGCAGCTGGTGGGAGGAGGGTTAATGTGAAGTGCAGGGTCTTGAATTGATTAATATTTGCAGCCAGGGGGAGAGAAGGTTAATACAATGGGGTTGAAATAGTTACTGGTTGCAGCCGGTGGGAAGAGGGTTAATGCGACGTACCAGGGTTGAAAGTGTTTATTGCTGCAGCTGGTGGGGAGAGGGTAATGCGACATACCAGGGTTGAAAGAGTTTATTGCTGCAGCTGGTGGGGAAAGGGTTAATACAATGCACAGGGTTCAGATGGGTCAATGGTTTCAGCTGGCGGGGAAAGGGTTAATGCAATATAAAGGGTTTGGAAGGCTTAATTGCTGCAGCTGGTGGGGAGAGGGCTAATGTAATGCACATGGGCTGGAAGGGTTAATGGCTGCAGCTGTTGGCAGGAGGGTTAATGTGACGTAGAGAGTCTTGAAATGCCAGGGGGAGAGAGGGTTAATGTGACGTCCAGGATTTTGGAAGGGTTAATGGTTGCAGCTGGTGGGGAGAGAGGGTTAATGCAATGGGGTTGAAAGAGTTCATGGTTGCAGCCATAGGAGGGAAATCCCTCAGAATACAGCCATAGGGAGCTCCAATCGTGAGTGGAGGCGTTGTCCGGACTGGTCACATGACCATCCCCCTGCACAGGATGCTGGGACTGTACTGAGTGAACAATCATGCAGGGCTGTGTCTCCCCGGCAACGGGAGAAGCTTCTCTGAGAGTCTCCACAAGCTCAGGAGGCAGCATGAAGGAAGGCAGGGAGTCCCCAAGCCTCCATCTGGACCTCAGCAACTTCGAGGATGGGGCGAGCAGCCGCTACGTCCTGACCAGCCCCCGTTCCCTGGAAGCCTGTGCCCGGCTGAGGGTGAGACCTATCGAGCTGCTTCACAAGTCTCTGGAGGAGGTGAGTGAGGAGAACCCAGAGGCCAGCGGCCAGCAACTGAACGACCTATATGTAGCTCAGGAGAGAGAGCGCCGCCACAAGCTGAAGCTGTGCAGAGAGCTGAGGCTGGAGCTGCTGCAAGGGGACTGGCAACCAAACAGAGCCTCTTCCCACACTCCTAGAGGTCACAAAGACCGTCCATTCACCTCCCTAGATCAGCAGGACCCTCAAACTCTCTCCACTGATTGCCGAGACCCTCTGGACACCCTAACCAGAGGCTATAGAGACTATTCTTCACTCCTTTTCCCCGATCAACATAACCCTCCACCTGTTACTACAAATCACCAGGTCCCACAGGACACCTCAACCAGGGGCCACAGAAGAGGCTCAGGGACACTGCAGAAAAGCCTGAGCCAGGGAGACCTCCTTCTAATGGAGGAGAAGGCACGCCGCATGGCCAGGACAGTGGAAAGAGAGATGTGGGCCTCAGTACCCGATCGAGATAAGAAAATTGGTGCTTTGATGTTGTTAAAGCACCAGGAAGAGGAGATGTCCAAGCAGAGAAGGCATCAAGCCCAGCAGGCCTGGGACAATCTGAAGACTGAGGAGAGGTATATCCGAGCCGCCTTGGACAGACAAGATTGGCCAATCCAGATGCAGAACCATAGGAGGCGAAGCTGGAGCTCCCAACTTGACTGGCAGGTGGACCCCGTTCACATGTCCTCCCACAAGACTTTATTGCCGGAGCAAAGAGCCCTCCTTCAATATGGCTTGACCAAGGTCATGGTGGATTTAAAGAGTAAGAACCCCTGCTACGATAGCACAAGCGGTTATCCACTGGAGGAAAGAATGATAAAGGCCTTCAAAGCAAAAATGGTCAAGGATTTACAGGACAAAAAGAACCTCCAAATTAAAAATGAGTATGAGAAGCTTCGGCATTCCAAACTGAAAGAGAAAGTAGACTATCAGGCTAAAGCTGAGGAGCACGTCAAGAAAGATTCCATCCAACGCAAAGAGCAGAGATCGAAGGAGCTCCAAGAGAAATTGATGGAGGAGAGGAACAAGGGCTTGTATGAGAAAGCATCTAGAGAGGATGAGCTGAAGCTCATGGCAAAGCTCCGGGTTATGCATCTGGAAAAAGAGAAGATGGAGCACAAAAAAATGCTGGCTCACCTAACTGACCACAAGATCCAGCAGGCCAGAGGCACTCTACAGAAAAGCATAGTGGGCAAAACGGAGCGAGCCCGAGAACTCAACTTCGTCAAGGAAAGCACCTATCAAGCCTTGAAGAAAAATGTTGATCGACAAAAGGAGAACCAGCGCAAAGAGATCGTCCAAATCATCAGGATGAAGGACCAGAAGAGCGACAGGATCCGCAAGGAAAAAGAAGCTACGGTCCAGGAGGGGAAAAGGATCGCTAGAGCTTCATTTCATTTTCGGGATAAGATCCGTCAGCAGACCAAAAGCAGGACTTTTGACCAAATGGCCCTTCAGGCGACGCTTAATGCCAGCCTATTAAAAACCATCCCATGAAAGGAAAATGATTCTGTAAGTGCTCGTGTTACGGGGCAAGAGCAAGTGTGCTTGTGTCTGAGGTCAGATTGAGACACTTCTGTGTTCCTTCACAGATGCATTGAATTGCAGTTAACCTTCTTTTGACCTGCAGTTGACCTTCTTCTAAGCTGCATCAAGCTTTGCATTCCGTTTGAAATATATGAGGAGACACAAAGAAAAGCCTGTGTGCGCAGGCAATAGACCCTAGGACATGGGTGGGCAACTTTGGTTCTAAAGCTGTGGTGAAACCACAAATCCCATCATGCCGCTGCTTTTGGGAATAATGCCTGTGGCTGCCAGAGTCTTGCAATGCCTCATGGGGGTTGTAGTTCCACAACAGCTGGAGTGCCAAGGTGGCCTATCCCTGTTCTAGGGGATGGTCAGATGTGCAGACACAATCCTCAAGCATCTGTCCTGGCCAACAGTTCCCCTAGAATATATCAGGTGACCATCTGTATTTAGGCCCACAGAGAGAAGCGGGGGAACATATCTCCTCGGCCAGCAGTATCTACAGGTGGCTTACAGACAATAGATTGTCATTGGACGAGATTATTCTCATCTGATGTCCTTGGGCGTCATGCGGGTGGAGCATAGAATGAGGTCATCCCAACTACAAAATATTTACAAAAATATTATTCAGGAGTGTTTACTTTATAGTGTATCTAAAGCCAAAACATTTTTAAGTAGGGATGCACCAATACCAATACCAGTATCTGTGACGATACCGAGTATTTGGGCGAGTACTCGTACTTGCCCAAATGCTCCTTTTCCTTCCCCGATACCGGAACTTCCGGTCACAGTAAGATTTCCTGTGACCGGAAGTGCTGTAGGGGAACATGGAGCCAGCTTCCTGGGCAATCAGGTAGCCGGGTGGAGATTAATAACTGGCTTCCCGGCCAATCAGGAAGCCGGCTCAATGCTGATTGGCTGGGAAGGCGGTTTCCTCGCCAAACAACACGGAGCCGGGTTTGCGGGCAATCAGGAAGCCAGGTCTCGGGTCATTACCATGGTAATAAGTGGATTATGTGGCTATTGAGGAATAGCTTTAACCACTTCAGTACCGACATGTTACACCCCCTTCACTACCAGGCCATTTTTCCGGCAACTGCTCCAGATTCTGCCTATTCCCGTTTTGATAAATTCTGCCCATTGTGTTTAAAGATGATTTTAAAGATGATTTTCAGTATTTGTAAATCTGCTTTTATTAAAATGATGCCCCCGGTGATCCTGCAACACTTCCTGTTATAGGGTGACAACGATCTGTCCCTGTCTCACAGTTGTGGTCACCCTGTCACAAGGGCTTCCGATGTTTCCTCATTGCTCATACATGGTCCATCAGGCAGCCCACCCTGAGAAATGTCATGCAGCCATCACTAGTGCGGAAGTAGCTGCAAAGAGGATGCAGGGCCAGCAGTGAGATGCAAGAGATAAAAAAGGTGAAAAGCATTTTACTTGAGCGATGTCCGTTGTTTATGATATACACGGTGGGGTGCTTTAGCTTTAGCATATTAGATGTCACACTGTTAGAATTTACATCGACTTTAATTGATGGTGTGTGGCCCCGAAGCCAAAGACACAGAATAAGGTTGCCACCCGTCCGGCTTTTACCCAGACAGTCCGGTTTTGGAGCCTTGTGTCCGGGTGTGCAGCCACTCAGAGACACAAGACACTCAGTGCCGACACCGGCACTTTACATTTTCTGACAGATGTGGCTGCCGGGGTCTCGGGCGGCCGTGATAGTCTGTAAACCGGATCTTCTTCTGCGCTGCGGGCAGTCTGTGCCTGTTTACAGGTGCCCGCAGCTCAGAGGAAGATCTGGGTTTCAAGCAGATGCGGCCGCCTGAGATCGCGCTTGCTGAGGACCTCGGCAGCCGCATCTGTGATTGCCCCTCCTCCTCCGGCTCGCTGTCACCGTGCTGCCCGCCTGCGGACCCCTGGTGAGACACCGCAGCCCACCTGAGAGTCCGCACAGCCCACCTGGGAGCCCGCACAGCCCACCTGGGTGGGTGCCCGCACAACCCACCTGAGAGCCCGCACAGCCCACCTTGGAGCCCGCGCAGCCCACCTTGGAGCCCGCGCAGCCCACCTTGGAGCCCGCGCAGCCCACCTTGGAGCCCGCGCAGCCCACCTTGGAGCCCGCGCAGCCCACCTTGGAGCCCGCGCAGCCCACCTTGGAGCCCGCGCAGCCCACCTTGGAGCCCGCGCAGCCCACCTTGGAGCCCGCGCAGCCCACCTTGGAGCCCGCGCAGCCCACCTGAGAGCCCGCGCAGCCCACCTGAGAGCCCGCACAGGCAACCTGAAGACATCAGGGCACCAATCCAGAACAACACAGAGTATGTAGCTTCATATTATTTTGTATTGCTGTATAATGTATTGCTGGGATTTGTAGTCCTCTATAGCCGGTCTCCTTACTCCCTCCTCTGGCTGCCTCTCCTTGAGAACTTCTTCCTCCATACACATTATAAGGCTGGGCACACACCTTACAACCATCACAAGGCTTTTGTCTTGCGATGGTTGTAAGGTAATTCCAAAAGCATACGATCTGCCCATCTTGGACAGGCAGATCGTACTTGCGATGATCGCAAGCCGCGCCCCCCTGAGGGGCGGGCTTCCGATGACCGCAATGCCGAACAGGCAGTGTGCGCTTGCGCACACCGGCCCGTCCGGCTTTTATCTTACGAACATGCTACACACCCGCCGAACATCGTACGATGCTCGGCGGGTTTTCGAACATGTTCCTAAGATAAAAGTCGTGCGACCTTACAGTAGTAGAGGTCACACGGCCTCCACACACCTTACGATAATCATACGATTATCGTAAGGTGTGTGGGCACCTTAATTCAAATTGTGCATAATGACGGGAACTTACTAAGCAGCTGTGCATGTCAGCCAATCGGCTTCTAGCTTTCATTTTCAAAGCCGAGCAGAACAAGCTAAAGCTAGAACCTGATTGGTTGCCGTGCGCGGCCGCTCCTGATTCTGTCTGCTCCGGTCTTGGTACATTTCCTCCTATGAGTTTGAATCTCTTTATCTTCTTTTTTCTTTTTCTATTTAGCATCATTGTAACCCTGTGTGTGGTCGTATTGGATTTATGTTTTGTGCTGTGCCGTGTTCTGAACGTCTGGTGATTTGTAGCCATTTATAACAAGAATGACTTTTTAGTATATAAAGATATATTTTCTAATGTAACATGTGACGGAGATAATAAATATTTGTATCTTTTGGTAATTGGGGATCTTTAATTTCTAAAACACAAAAAGAAAATTCAAAAATAACTTTTTTTTTGTTGTTGAGCTCCCACTCACATGACACTCTATACCATGGGTAGGTATACCATTGCTGGAGCGTAGGGGGGGACAGGCTGGAAGGACCGGCTCCACAGCCAGCCAGCTCCAACGATCGAGTGAGTATACTGTACCTTTTGTTATTTTAGCTCCTGGACAAATACAAGCACTAAAAAGAGAACTATGAGGTGAGAGAAAATCACTCATACTCATAGTTTGAGCTGACGTGTGACAATTAAACTGTCACAGGTCGGCTTAATAGACCGGGAAGTGAGTGAACACATACCGGCGCTCGCTCACTTCCCGATCGTCTCCCTGCAGAGAGAGGTGACTGTCACTCACGGCTCCCTGCAGGGATTCCCTCCCCTCTCCGATCCTCCAGCACTGACTGGGCGGGGGCGGGTACAGCTGGCTCTGTCTCTAGATATGCAGAGCCAGCTGTCACTCACGCAGCTGGGTGGATCTCGATAGTAATGTCGGGTTCCGTCCCGGCTGCGGCGCTCTCAGTGTACCGCGAGCTGTAGCTCGCGATATACTGAGCTTTGGGTCACGGGAGGACGCTGGTATATGTACTTCTGTGACCCTTAAGAGAACTATGGGGAAAAACACTTACCCCATAGTTCTCTTTTAACTCTTCCGGTGCGGGGATAGCTCCACTGCAAGAGTTAAACAAATTTTTTGCCCGGAGTTCTTCTTTAAAACCAAATGCAATTTGGAAGGACATTCGTCAAGTCTCTGATGGCAGGATCGAATGTTTTGACCATTTGTTTTCATATGAACATTCTGTGACACTCCTACCACCAGTGTATGGGCAGCTTTATTGTGGTGGCGGTAAATAAGAACCGGTGATGACCGGCAGCTCATTATCATACAACCCGTTCACAGGCGTCTGATAGGTTCATTGGTTGCTGGTTTCCAGTCTGGTCCCTTTGCTGCATTTTCAATTTAATTAGCGTGAACAGACCTTGGAGATAATTGCTCCTAATTAGGCAATTTGTCTGATCGTGTCTCTTACAGATCTATATTATGGAGAGTCGGCACTCAGACAGAGCTCCAAAGTGCCCCGAATTCTGAAGTGTTTGGAGAGAAATATAAACCGCGCTCAGGTTTAGGGCCCATTGATTCTCAGTGCGTTGTGGTTAACACTCGCGGTGCGCGTATATTATCATGCGTGGTTCTAAGAAAGCCCATTCATATATCTGCACATTTATTTTGAATGTACTAAAACGTATCAAAGACCCATGTATATGTGCTTTTTATGCATTCTCATTGAAGTTTGAGTAGTGTTGCCACCCGTCCAGGATTCCCCCGGACAGTCCACTTTTGGAGTCTTGTATCCGGGTGTCAGGCCGGTTGGCACCCGGACACAAGACACTAAGTGCCGATGCCAGTGCTCAGGCAGCCGCATTATTTCCTCTAAGCCGTGGGCGCCTGTAAGCAGGCATCGACCCACACATATCCTCCTCCAGGTCCTTCCTGACAGCACGCTGCCCGCCTCTGAACCCCTGGTGAGACCCCTGCACTTCCCACAGAGCAAGGCCTGCATAGCCTACCTGAGAGTCCGCCTAGCCCATCTGAGAGCCCACACAGCCCACCTGAGAGTGCACATAGCCCACCTGAGAGTGCACATAGCCCACCTGAGAGTGCACATAGCCCACCTGAGAGTGCACATAGCAACCTGAGAGAGTGCACATAGCCCA